TTAATTCGTATAAAAGTGTCGCTATAACCATGTCGCGACGAGACCATCACACCATACACGAGCCGAGTTATGAGTTGCGCGAATTGCGGCTGATGAGGACGTAGTCAACTCCAGTTTACGCTTCCGTCGGGAAATATCCATTAGGCTAAGTAAATTAGCCTATGAAGAATTAGCATCCCGACAACGATCAAGCTGCTTGTCATACAAAACCTAAATAAACATCTGTCTTTGTCATTCTCACTGTCAATTCTGCAATAAAAAAGCAGGCTTGGACATCTTCTACGGCCGACGAAAATCTTCACATTGAGGTAACCTGCAACATTTGTGAAGTTGTGACATGACGAACTGACAACAGCTGACCGTTGGCAGTTATAAAAACTTCTTTGTCGGTATTATTCGAAACAAAATGCCGGGGTCAAGGGCTACGACCAGGCAGGTAATAAAGACAGTAAATTAAAGATCCTGCCCTCTGAAAACTCTTTGCCGTAGTTGCAGTAGAAAGTAATAATACAGTATAGTTATCTAGTTATGTCCGTACCATATTGTTCCTGCTTTTCATGTATTATTGTATGCTCAGTAATTTCTGAGAAGAATTTTCCCGGCGTTGTAGTTGAAGAATTGCCAGTCACAGTCCTTAACAGTCCTAACTAGATACATTAAAATGTTACAATAAGCAACGATTTTTATTTTGCTTTGTTGTTATTGTTTGCTGCTATTCGAGGAGAAGTTATGCCGTGGTCGTGTCGATTAGTCGTCTCAAATATTAAATCGTTTTATACATCTGGAATCTGGTTCATCGGTCAACCAGAACTCAAAATTGAAGTTTTTTTTTGGGTTAGGTACAAGTCCAGTTGCTTCAGTGACTGAATGCTTTGACCAAGCAAAATCGTATCACTTAAGATTAGCGCTTCTGAAACAGGTTGTTTTTCATAGTGTCAGACTCACTGCCAGGAAATCGCAGATCGAGACCTTGACAGTTGACTCGTTCTTCGTCTTTCAGACGCAGACAAATGGCTGGCACTTCGTCGGAAGGAAGCAAGAGAATATGCTGTAGTCTCCTATTTGTTGGCACACCTTTAGAATGTGCCACGAATGACGCTGAATCATGAATAAATGCCACCAATGGAACACGTGAAAGCAACCTTCACTGTTGCAGATTTTATTTTTCTATTTTGATTGAACTGGTCGTGAATAAGTTTGCTTTAATTTCCAATTTCTTTAATTTTAAATTTCTAAGCTCGACGAAGCCGCAAAATATTAGTTAATAACGTTGGGTTAGAGGCGGTACATTTGACTCCATAGTTAGCAATTCAAAACGTCAAGAAATCTCTGTTGAGACATGATTCGACGTGTGGTGTTGATAAGCGTTTGATAGTAGACCATTTGCCATCTGTTCAGAATACATGTTTATAGATTAAAATAAAGCGTCGTCTTTCGGCGAACCTTCTTTAAATTTTAGGTTCACCTGAATACTCTGACATCGTCAGTGCATAAGAAGATGTATTTTTCTGCTTTAAGCGCCCGCATACGTACAGCGGGAAAAGTTTTATGCAATATGCATAGAAAAATATGACTTGCATTTGACTTCGACGGAACTTAAAGCATCGTTGAAGCTCGAAAGTCTAAAATTTACATTTGGAATGAAACTGAGTGTTCTATTTTGGTGTCATATGAGTTGTTAGAATTCGATGATTGTGAACACAGCAGGCGACTGGTGGTTTAGGTTTTTTAATACCGACGTGTTTTAGACTGCATTGACTATCATATAAATTCATGGCGTTGCTCATGAAGAAACATATTTTGGTATTTTCAGATGTTGTAGTGGAGCGTATTTTGGAATTCAGTGTCAAATGAGTGCCATTATGAGATTGAATTTCTTGTCTACGCTACCGTTGTGTCAAAACGCAATCAATCTTTGTCGACGGAATATGACAACTGGTCTTTTCTGTCCATTTTGGCGTCTTCGTATTACCTGTTGATTTTCGTACTTTTTTGCCGTTTATGGCTGCCATGTTGAGAATGAAGATGAGATGATCGTGCAACTGGTAGAAAGGGGCGTCGAATTTGGTATCTTGGAGTATCTTTTTGTAATTAAGTAGTGTAGTAGTTTGGCTCATTTTCTTGCTTTCTGTCAGAAAGTTTTTCCAAGGATAGGTTAATTTTTTAGCGAGCGCCGGCCAATTTATTGCTTTCGAGGAGGTGAGCAACGCAGCGAGCAGTTCCCGTTGGCAACTTACCACACAGCTAGGAATCGAAAAATCCATGACTCCAGTAGTTAGTACAACAAGAAGTATGGCAGTTCCATGTTGCATGGTGGAACGATCTTTCCTCGCTTGGCGTAAGTTAGATGATGTCTGCCGTACGTCACGTCAGTACAAACTCGATGTACTGGTAGTCACGAAACTTCATTACCCGGGTTGGGGATGCTTGAACTGCGAGACGGGTAGTCATTTCGGTGGTCAGTTCGCAGCAGATTACGCCATGCTGCTGTTGCTATCTGTTGACTCTTCTTGTCCGCACTGCACTTCCTTCACTACATCGTCTGGCGGTGTAGAAAATTTTGAAATGCTATGGGATAACTCAGCACATAGTTTCTATATTGAAAGAAATGTATACAGGAATCACATGTGCTCTTAGAGTTGAACTACAGCTGTTTGAATGGTTCCTCATTAACTATAGAGTTCGCAAGGGAGATTACTTTTGCCTTTGTTATTCAAAATTTTTCTCTACTTGCTTCTCTGAAACAGTGCTGACCCTGGTATAAAAGAAGGACTCATACTAGACCTAAAGACACTTCAAGATATCCGGTTAGATATCTTGCTGGCCTGGAGTACGCAGATGATATTCTCTTTGTGATTAGTATGGTAAACGAATTCTTTCATCTGACGGTTTCTGTATGCAACACAGGTGCTATGCTGTGCTGCGAAAGCTGGCCTTTTTATTAACACTCGGAAGTCAAACGTTATAAGGAACCCGCCTGGCACAGGAGATCTACAAGTAGAATACGAATGGGAAGCCCTTCGAGAGGTTCTTCAGTTGAGATCTCTCGTCTCCACCATCTCCAGCTATGACACTGTTCAGCCAGGGTTAAATAGGCCTCTAGTCTCCAGTGCTTTTTTGAACTTGACCAATGTTTTTGGGGAGAAAAGAGTTGTTCTTTCCACCAAAATAGCCCTGTTCTTTGCCTCTGTTTGGTCAGTCCTGTTATAAGGAAAGATACAGTTGTAGCAAGTGAGCAAGGGCGACTGATGAACCGCGTACAACAGAGTTGGCTTCGACGCATAATGAGGGTTAAATGGACCATGTAAAGAATGACTATTATCGTCTGTGCACAGATGACGTCAGTTGATGTGGAGATTATGAAAAGGAGATCGACCCTGTTAGACTGATTGAGCATAAACCATTTACGTCAGCACGTGAGCTTCTCATATGGGAGCCAAAACACGTCAGACGTCGATAAGGAGGTCAGCATGCATAATGGAACGTGTCGAAGCAGATCTGTTGTCGGCGAGAAATTTTTGCTTCTGCGATGCCGTAACCGGTGCCTTATAGCAGAAATGTTTAAACGCTTAGCATACGGCGGGCGTTACAAAGCAGACAAGTTTTACTTGCGGAAATGACTCAGGATGATCTCAACAAACAGCAACAGCCTTTTGGCAAGGACAGTCTTTTATATTGTTTTCCATTTTCATTTATGAACATGGACAGAACACCAATCAGAACCAAAGTAAACTAGATTTCCTGCGTTCTTTAACTTAGTAGTTCGAATGTTAATATAACAAACACAAAATAGAAGAAAATAATGAAATCCTCCTTTGACAAAGTATGATTGTCAGTAATGGAATTTGTTTTAATTCAGGTTGTCTGTTGTTTAACCTAAGTTAACCAGTTTTAGTACACTTTAAATTTCTTCTTTAGTAAATATTCCTAAAAAGAAAGAATTTGTTTATTCACAGAATATTTTGTTGTGTCAATTATAGTGTGAATTAAAACTCTAAGTTGAATTAATGCTTTCTTGCATGCTCGTTCTCTTATTTTTATCACCTTAAGACTACTAAGTGACTTTAGACT